AAGTGGAGAAAACGAATGATTACTCGCTGTTCTTGTAATGAAAACGTCGCCATTTTAAGTATCAAAAACACTCCTCACTCTCGCCGCTACCACTAGAGTTCTGTGTGCCGTAGAGTGCTGCCATCTCTGTCACGCATTCACAAAGAGTGCACATGTATTTTAAACTAAACCGCATGTGTCTATCTGCTCCCAGTCCCGAGAAAAAAAATCGGAGACCTTAGAACTTGAACGCCCCTCTTAGTTTGTGATAGCTGAGAAGGTATTGGGAGTGTGGAATTTACTGACACTTGTATGGGTCCCACGTAATTAATACATATAGACTACTGAAGATAGAGTGAATAGAATATTGTGAGTAGGGTCTGTAAAGTGTGTAAACCCATAACAGCGTTATAAGTAATTGTAGTTCCGATCTGTAGGTTATTAAATAAACCAATTAACAATCCGAACGGCGTCTTCAGTGGCAAAACACGTTACAATACTATAATTGTCGTCACTGACGTCATCATCAACAAAAGCGTAGCAGCAGTGGCTGCAGTCATAAGTAGTAGAGTAGTAGTAGCAGCAGCAGCAGCAGTAGTGAATGTGATACTGGTAGTAATAATCATAGTTGTGGCTGGAAGAAAGCCTATCAAGATCACTTTATATCCCTGGCAAACCATTTCTGCAAAGAACTGCAGGAGATGGACACTTGGGGACAACACACATATCCAGGAAGATGCTAGTGTAGCACTAAGAAGTCAACCATATTTTCCATGATGCTATTATGAGGTGGGGAGGATGATAATAATAATTATTACTTAATTTATGCCTTTGGGGTAGGAGGTGACTTGGTATTATTTTTAAAGGCCTCATAAAGATCATGCAATATTCACAGAAATAAAATAGGATTTTTAATATGCAATAAAATATAACTGACATCAATGGTTGAAAGAAAAGAAGCCATGGATCTTCAAACAAGATCACCACTGAACTAAAATCACCCTTCTATACCGAAGCTCTGAATAAGTAACAACTCACCCCAAATTTTTCTTTTATTTCACTAAATACACATATTTTCTGTAATTTTAAAATAAAAACAGATCACTTTGTTCTCAGGGTGTGGATCAGAAGAAAGTGATATTGCTTATTCTGTTCATAAAAACTCTTAATCTGTGAAAAATAAGGGCAAGTGTGTACATACTTGTATGTAACAACAGATACAAGTCAGATGATATAAATTATGTTACTCTAATTATTTCATGTATCACATAACCAGAAACCCACGAAACGACATTAGGACCAGTGTACAAAACATATTGCTTCAAGGCCTTGGTCTGCTGTGACAATCTCATTACGAGCACTTCTGTACCTTCTGGCTATGGGAGGATTAAGTGTTATCCTAAGTCTGAACCCTTTGCTCTGCTTACTGCATTAGACTGTAGCAAATACCCCAAATCTCTTTCTATATTTAATATACAAAGAGCATTTAAATTAACTGTTATGATAGCATCAATAGACTGAATTTAAATGGCATTGCAAAGGGTTAAATTATACTACACGGATGACACCAGCTAATATGACCTGCTCAGAATGATATGGTATAAGTTTTCCCTCAAGTTTCCGTTGACTGATGGCATAAACATATCAATATGGACTCTGTGTCGTAAAATATGGGGGATTTAGGAACAGTCATTACCTCAAGTAACAGCTAGTTACTTGAGAGTTAGGGGAGAGAAAGTAAGGATGGTTTCACTAGCTCTGACTGCTGTTGAATTGGAACATTGCTGGAGGTGGTGGGGCATGAGAATGTGCAGTTGCCGGGGGTGGCAATGGTTTACTGCTGATGAATGGTTTTGGTGGAAGTTTGGGTGTCGTGTTGCTATGATGATGTACTGCGAATGGTTCTCGATGATTACACAAGCCAGTCTTGTGCCCACCACATGACACTGGAAACAAACATCATCACATGAATTATGGACAAGCAGCTCTAAATAGAACTTACAATGCATATTTTCCTTCAAATACTTCAATACATACCATAAAGACAGATGGACCTCTAGCGATTGTACAATTAATTTTTTTACTGCTAAGCACTACTATAGTTGCACTGTATCAGGTATGTGTATACTGTTAACCACTTGTAGAGTGACATTTCCTTATTGGTGAGTTTTAGAGTTTGAGCCTCCAGCACATAAGAAAATGTGGTATCCATACAGTTTATGATCCATTCATAAGCCTAATTTCCAATGCCACAGATACTCATTATCTTAAGCTTGCCACATATATCAAAGTTTCACAAAGTAACCATATTTGTAATTGTTAGTATATAAACTGCTTTCAGGCAGGTAATTCTATAGATTCATCTCTGCACAAAATTCCACATCATTAGCTCAGCAGGTAACACCATAAAACAGACAGGTAAACCCTCTCAAGACATTCTAGAAAAGAACTAAAAAAAAAGATGGGCTTATTAAGAACGAATGGTAAGCCCTCTAGGAAGACTGAAAATTAGTTAACTTTCCATATGCAGTTTCTCGCCTTAATTAAGAATGACTTTATTAATGTTACACAAATTCTTCTATGTATATGGCTACCACAGCCTGTCCGTCAAAGAGCTGTCAGATGTCCTATATATATATGTATATAGGACTGCTTTTCATTTCACTGACTATTTCAATGTCCCCCAAAGCCTTTCCCACACAGGAAGTGTTCCAACACCAAGAGTAAAAATCCAAATGTGTACTTCAATGTACATTGCATAGCTTTATCATTCCCTTCTTTCTCAATGCACTGTCCTAATTCTCACACATACATCACCAACAATGCCTTCTTTATTTACTTCAACAATCCTTTTCTGTTGGGTGACAATTTCCATTCATTGTCAAGGAGCAATCAATGTACAGCTGTTCATCAGATCTGAGTTCATCGTCGGTATTTTAGACATAATTTGTCATTGCTGATTATTTACATTAATTTAACAAAATTAAATATCTGAATTGTAATTATGAGGGATGTTCAATAAAGTGACCAAAGATTTTTTACAAGTTTACTTCTCCAGTCAATACAACATTCCTCTTCAAAGTGTCCCCCATCACAGGCACCCATGCATCATATGCCAATTGGTGGGTAGGAGGTTGGTGGTGGTCAAATGTAGTTCCCCATATTACAATTCTCCACAGCGTTCCTACCAAGGTGGTTTGTTTTAGCAAAAATCCTTCTCCATCTTCTCTATTCTCCCATGCATGCTCCTCTCATATCTCTGTCAACTCTCTCTATATATCCTCCCTCATTTGTTCCCCCACTGATCTTTGGTTCTTATATGGCTGTTTATTACTATCTTAGTTTTGATACTCTTAAAGGAATTCTGCTGTCATTAACATTGTTCTTGGGTTGTTACACCTTGTGAATGTTGGTAATGTTGCCAACATTTTGGAAGTGCAGTATACCTCCATCTTCAACCCTGAAGATGCAGTCAGCATACAATTCCAATGTTGGCAATATCACCCATAATCACATGGTGCAACAATCCAAAAACAGATCTAACGAGTAACTGACCACCACATATGCCTAAAATCAGGAATTCTACTGTCGCCCAAGCATAACATCCCTGTAGCCTTAATCTGATGAACTCTTTAGGATTCATACTTGTCTTCTGTATGATTACTTATACAAAATTTCATGAACATTCTTTAATGAACAGAATACATATGACAGTACTGTATTTAAATGAAAAAAAACCTGAGATCATTCATTCAACAGCTATTGTTACCTGAAGAATGGGGAAAACAGGATGCTGAAGTTGTAAAAATAGGCCCATTTACAGACATGTGTCTTCTTGCTGGGACTGGTGCTGTAGTACCCATGCCTCCACTAGTACAACAAGAAGGTATCAGTGGTTGAGATGAAATGAGATGCATGTCCAAAGCAGAGTTTCGCCTTAGTAGAGGAGTGAACGAGTTGTTCATGGTAGCACTGAGATCACGTGACTGTGAAGGCAGAATACGAGGCATTGTTCCAGATACAATGGGGACCCCAGCCACATCACGTCGAGGTGGAAGGGGTGGAGGAGACAGTCCCCGTGGAGGAAGCATGGGTGCATCAGAAGCTTGGCAAACCTGTAACAAATGATCATAATTATTTTTTGACAACAAAACTGCAACTGCTGTTTACAACTGAACAAACTGTAACAACACATATGATAGAATAAGTATGATTGATAACATGAAGTTCATCCCAGCATGCAAATTATCAGCACCATCAATTTCTTCTCAGCATTTCATCTTGACACGTGACTCCCAACCAGCCATGACTCTTCTTTCCAACTTCTTATGCTGACTGTACCTGCAGCTCTGCTATCTGAGCTCTTTATAGCTCATGTTTCTACAGGCAACATAAACCCTTTGAGGCACAGCGGTTACCACATGTATACCTGCTTTGACATACAAAAGCACTGCATATTACCCACAGACTGCGTTTGTGTTTCATATGATTTTCAGGATCAAGAGTGATTATTTTCTTGAACTATATTAAATGGCTGGACATTATAATGAAGACACATCATGTTATCTGTGAGGTAAACTAATCTTGTATGTATATATTTACATCAATTTCATGCTTCAAAGATTAATCTGCCTTCTGGACAGAAAAACAACACCACAAGATTGGTGTATTGTGTGAAGAGAATTTACTTGACCCTGAGACAAAAGTGTATAGAACACATGTACAGAGATGTTCCAGTACATGGTTGGAAAACACTGGTTGATTCCCCAGAATGTCACATAACCTCAAAGGGAATAACATTTTTAGGACTCCATTTACTATGACTTTATGGTTTCAATGCCAAACCCCCTCTAAATTTTTACAAACGAGTAATGTCCATCATCTAACATCATCTGTGCTTCTGTCCATTCCACTGGTCTTGTTTCATTGTGTATGCTGTCCCTTGCCCAGTGAACAGGAGTTTGTCAGAACTAAACGTCCACTCAGGCGGTCACGGTAGCTGAGTGGTTTAAGGCATGCACTGTCTTTGCTCGCTCGGAAGCCGGGATTGTGGGTTCGAATCCCACTCAGGGCATGGATGTTTGTGTGCGTTTTTCTGTGTTTGTCTACAGGTAGAGGCCTTGCGACGAGCTCATCACTCGCCCAAGGAGTCCTACCGAACGTGTAAGATCTAGTAAACCAAAGTGAAACGGAGAGTTTCATGGGGGTAGGCCTAGGCCCAAATTTGGGCTGTAGCACCACAGAAAAAAAAAATACCTCCACTCACCTATACATATTCATGCCATGGTGCTTAATTAATTAAGCAGAGAGAAAACTTTACTTTAAATTTTACCTTCTACCTAAAGTAACCTCTGTAGCGGAAGCTACAGCAGATACTTCCAGAACAAAACACACATTAGGGACTACAGAAATGAACACCTTATGGAAATCTGCCAGAAAGACAAAAGTGGATCAAGTAAGAAACCAGACAGGGGGTTCTAAAAGTTCTGCAGTTAATCTGCAAAGCAGATAATCCACTCTCAGCCAATCTGCAGACTACTGTATTGGACGCTGGTCTGCAGCAGACTGTCACTACCACAAATATTTTCTTCTCTGTCACTATCAATATCTGTTATCAGTATAAACATTTTGGTTTATCAGAACTCACACTTGGCTCAGAGTACTCATTCACATTATCACTCCACAAATTATTTTCATATGGGTCACCATTTGGATCATAAGCCATCTTGCAACAAGCAATACACACTCATTCACTCATACACAATATGCACATGCTCAATGCAACACCAGGTTATGTGAACCAAGGTTACAAGGCACAGTGAACAGCACCTCGTTGATGTAACTGGAAGAAATTAAATAAACGTCATTATCTAATAGTGGAATATAGCATGCTCAGATGCAAGAAACCTCACCATATCTGCTGCAAATGGTTTGAAACAATATCTTCTTCACCAGAAGGCAATTATTTGTATATAAAAGTGATTGGTTGGTAGTTTAGATCTGGCATTTTTAGCAGAAAATCCAGAGGCAAACCAGTTGACTAGCATGAAGTAAAGAAAGATCAAAATTTAAATATCATGTAGTTAACATGTTCGTTTGTGGAATAAATTTTATTGTAAAAAAAAAAACACAGATGATAAAATTCTTAAAAAACACTGGAATGATTCTCTAAGACAATACATTCATGACAAGTTCCATTAATGGCTGATTTTTAAAAACAAAGTCACTGGAATGATCAGGCAGGCGAGCACACACACAAATATACATAATATTATCAAGCTGCTTTCTCCATCAGAAACCAACCTAAAAGTATATATATGATTACCTGCTGGGGAGAATTGTTATCCCCAAGTGAGGGTTCCCTTGGGCGCCGAGGTGGTAGAGGAGGTGGTGGACCGGGATTAGGAAGTGGGGCAGGTGGTGGAGGCATGGATGTGACTGAGGCAGTGGTTACTGGGGGAGGACATGGAGATGGGGAAGAGGAACCAATCAGACCACCTCCAGCTGCTTGTTGTGACGTAACTGTTGGAGACGTTGCTGGAGAGGTGGAAGCAGAATTCAGTACCAATGTTGTCGCAATTCCAGATGCTATACTACTTGCTGCTGACTGAATAGGGCCAGGTGACTGGTTTCCTGAAGCTGTAAAAATGAAGTCATCAGTTTCAGTAACNGGCCCTTCAAGTCCCCCTCTAACCAAAAGTAGTTATGCCACTAAAATACTCTAAGCTATGGTTTCTCAAACCGTGGATCATGACCTAATCTGAAGGGTAGTTACTATAGGATTCTGACGATGGTGTATAACACACTGATATATTGGGTTTTTGGACTTTATCCATCGTCCTGGTTTTTAAGATAACAAATAAAAACACTGGATCCAGTGATTGAGGCTAGCTCTTTCTAACGGACCCAACAGAATAGGTGTTTCCCTTTTCCTTCACCTGAGGACGGAAACAGATCCAGTTTCCGAAATGTCGTGTTTTTATTTGTTATCTTAAAAACCAGGACGATGGATAAAGTCCAAAAACCCAATATATCAGTGTGTTATACACCATCGTCAGAATCCTATAGTAACTACCCTTCAGATTAGGTCATGATCCACGGTTTGAGAAACCATAGCTTAGAGTATTTTAGTGGCATAACTACTTTTGGTTAGAGGGGGACTTGAAGGGCCAAGGTATGTGGATGAAAAAATTATATTAAAAACTGTGTTATAGGAATATGATGCAGCAATGTGAACTAGACGAGGATAGGGAGCAACGGTGAGCTTCTTATGTTAGCAATTTTAAAGCCAAAGACTTAGTTATGTAATTTCACTGGTTTTATCACACACTTTACCATCAAATAAAATGGTCAGTAGTTACTCAGTACTTATACCTCACTATTCTTCTGATATGTTTCATCTGACCACTGATGAAATCATCTGTCATCCTCTTTTACAATAATTTGGCTTAATAACCAACAATTTGATAAACTCTTCATAATTTTGTCACATAAATTAATCAAAACACTAAAATACTACAATACACTCATGACAACTCTTATGACATTGTTATTAAGCAAAAGTAAGCATTCATGCATTTATCCTTCATTTATTTAAAACCTGCATACTGCTACCTTTTGAAGTTTTTCCTTATTCTAAAATGATAATCAAGTACTGTCATGTCACCCTTATAAACAGTTTAACTATAACTAACCTGCAGGTCCAATGAGAATTGGTGCAAAGACACTAAAGTCTGAGGAAGGACCATGGTATGGGGGCGTATGGGGTGCTGACACTGTGAGTGGTGTCCTCGGAGTTTCCTCCCCATCTTCTGGCAACCGACTGGTTGATGGGAATAAATGACGTTCTCCCATTGAAGGAAGAGGACCAGGAGGATGGTTGCGACCTGGTAAGTTACGCGGCTTTATACCTGGTGACTTGAGGTTCAAATCTGGCCACTTTCGGGGCTGAAAAAAATAAATACTCTCACAGAACCAAAAACCTGATTGCAAATTCCACTGTCACAAGTATTTATGCGTCCACAAAACCTAAAAATAACACCCATCATCACTCAACAGACAAACTGACATTGTCAATTTCTTTCGGTAAAATTCTTATGGCAGCAAACAAGGTTCTACAATGAAGATACTCATAACTGCTATAAAGATATATTTAAAAGAATATATTCTGGGAAGAACTTTATGATGCATACTTTCCTTTAAATACTGCAATACATACGAACAAGCTAGTAGGATCAGTACGCACAAGTACCATTAACACAGACTTCCATTATGGTAATCTGTCAAACACAGCTAACAAACTATCATAAAACTGACAGGCTTATAACTGTTAATGTATATAAAAACATGCTTCATACAGAATTTGTGGCTAATATTATAAACTATTTCTATGCAAAATTCCAGACCTTCAGCTCCACTGGCTCATTAACCTGATACAAATTTTATGTAGTCACAACACGGTGCTTTACATTTTTACAAAATTAGGTTAAAAAAGCTGAAGTTTCAAATCTCTATCGCCAAGCAACAATACGAGGACCCCAAATTATGTAGTTCTACCATAAGCCTCAACAAATGCAAGGAACAACTGTCATAAAAAATTTCTGGCAGAGCTGAATATAAACTCATTTCCTCCATGAAGTGAAGTATGTGAAAATACTGAAACTAATTCTGCAAAACTGTACCACTATATTTACCCACCCTTTTAGCCCCCGCAAAATTTCATATCTAAAATTTGTGATGTATAAAATATATGAATACTACAATTCATAATACAATTTTACACATTAGACTGAGGTCAGGAAAATTACAGCTGCACATTAGCAATAAAAGTGCAATTCCATTCTTTCCTGCATAATATATAACCATCAATCTGAACCCAGTTACATAACTGTCATCTTTCTCTGCATCTGACACACTTACAAATCATTGCTTATTACTGTCAATTCCTCATGAAACAATATGACAATTAATTTTTAAAATACAGTTTTCAATGGAGCTTAAAGTTTTAGAAATGCAATAAATTCAATTTATTTCTGAAAATTCTGCATTTCAGACATTGAGAATGTTTTATAAACTGGGCCATCAGTTAATATGCCAGTGTTTAACACCTACATATTCAAGGTTAAGAAGAGTAACTAATGAGCTCAGTTAAAAGCCAAGCTCTAACTCACTGAACTCCTTTTCTTACAGCAATTTAAATACAGTTCCACAGTTATGCAGCATGCTACTTAAACAATACCTTTGACTAACACCCTGAGTCAGGACTGTTATTATAACCTAAGGTAACTTACAAATCTGGGAGGCTGCCGGCATCCTCTAGGTTCCACTTCAAGCGATTTGTTGTACAAGTAGTTACTTATGTCTGTGTCCTTTTGATCCTCAAACGGATTCAAATTTTCTAGAAAATGCTGAAAAAAAGATTAAAGTTTTGTGAGATGAAGGTTATCACTGTTTAAGATATTCAAACAGATATAATTTAAATCACTTTAACATAAACATAAAGTTCTGGAGAGAACTTACGATGATTAATTCCGGCACTGACTACACTATGAAGCATCTTGAGTATGTATGCATTTTATATATAATACAATTTCTTTTCTCATTGCTGGTTTTGTCAATAGCTCACAAGAGGTTATTTTAAGAATTACTTACTTACTTACTTACTCACTCACGGAGCTGAGCCCTTCTGGAGGAGCTGCCAATTCTGCAGCTACTCAAGAATTTCCCAGCATTTTATGGAACCCGAAGGTTCATTATCATGTTCACAAGAGCCCTCCACTGGTCCCTATCCTGAGCCAGATCAATCCAATCCTCTCTAGGATCCATTTTAATATTGTCCAGGTTCGTGCTTATTGTATGTATTGTACTTATCACCATTATTTTATATTGTATATTGATTACTGTGATACTGTGTAAAGTTTTAAACTTGTTTTATATTGCAAACATATTGACAACTGCTTGATTTATAAGCAAGATGAGTTCATACTACTTGACGATTTCTATATCTGTTGGTTGTTTAAACCATGTAAGTATTTTATGGAATGTGAATAAATGAATGAATGAATGAATGACAGAAGAAATCTTAAAATATAAGTTAGATTTAGTGGGAGTACAGGAGGTCAGATGGGATGGTGGGATAGCATCGTACCAGCAGGAGACTATACATTTTTCTATGGAAAGGGGAATGAAAATCATGAATTAGGCACAGGTTTTTTCATATATAAGAGAATCGTATCAGCAGTTAAGAGGGTAGAGTTCGTTAGTGATAGGATATCATATATAATACTAAAAGGTCACTGGTGTGATATCACTGTTATGAATGTTCACGCCGCAACAGAAGATAAAATTGATAACATAAAGAACAGATTCTATGAAGAACTATTTTCTGAAGAGCCCTCATAAATTTCACAACATTTGCATAGCTTTTAAGGATCTTTTACAACATAATCTGTGATAAAAAAATCCATCACAAGACTCCAAAGGGTACAATCTTATGGGATGTAATACTGTGTAGTTTGACTACTAAAGTTCACCAAAATTTCAGAGGAACATACTGCCTCTATCTTCAGGGTCAAAGAGAAAACCAGATAAAAAGCCAGCATACATTACAGTCCAGAAGATAGTACTCTTCATAGTCATTACTATAAGAACGTCAAATTGAAAACACTCAGAAGATAAACAGTCAGTCTCTACTCTTTTAAATAGTTACATTCTTGGAGAGAGTTCATATAGCAAACTTCATAATTTGAATCACATTTTCCACAGACACAATGTTATAATTGGGTGTTAGATTCCCAAATGACCAAAACTGCCGAAAATCTGAAATTACCAATTCTAGTGCCTGAAATGAAAGACACACGAATCGAAGCCTTTGCCTGAATCTTTCTTAGACTTAGAGGCACAGGATGCTAAGTTTGTTCATGTGCCAAGACAATGAGAATGTTTCCCATTTCACAATAAGTCTGTCACATTTTCATAGTGCTGCAGCTAACAAAGAAGCTTTCTTTACTACCTCAGGAATCCTGGATTTACTCCTCAGGGAAGCAGCTACAGTTTATGCAGATAAATTGAACTACTGGTAGATATCATAATTCTGCATTCCTCCTTTCACAAAGTTTTATTGTTTCAGCATTAATTTCCAGTGTCATAGGTTTTTACAGTTTTTTTTTGGCAGCACCATCAACATTTCTTGAACATTTCCTTCTACCAGTCATAATTAATAGAGGAAAAACCATAAAACTGTTAAAACTTTTGGCAGCACCATCAACATTTGTTGAGCATTTCCTTCTACCAGCCATGATTAATAGAGGAAGAACCATAAAACTGTTAAAAGAACAGCATAATCATATACAAGATACATACAAGAGAAAAGTGTAAGGACTAAGTGATGGTCTATTCATTTCCATTTTCACTTGCACATGTTAATTTCTGTTCAGGAGGGATTTCAGAAAAGCAAGTTTGTGTTCAGATGATAAGCCAGGTCATGGAAATTTGATTAATTATACATGTTCATATGAGTGAAACTTCATAATGTAAACCTCTGTAAAGCAAGGACTGCCTGTACATAAAAGCTCCAGTATGGCCCTTAAGTAAAGTGGCCTTACAATTAACTGAAACTTCTTCACATTAATATTCATATTGTGACATGATTATGTTGTCTGTTGCATGGTACTGGCTCAATAAACATGTTTCCATGGCAACAGGAATGCAAGAACCGAATAAAGACACTATTGAAACAGTGTTTTTTATATGGTCTGTGCCAAGGCAATTAGTGCATGAAGGACAACTGAGCCTGTGATTTCTCAGGTAACGATAAATTCTGTATGTTCCGTGAGACTAATGGTGTCACCTTTCTTCAATCAAATGACGTGACGAAAGATTGCATGGACATAGCAGAAACGTTCTATCAATGCCTGACTTACATGTGGCAGATGTGTAGGCATCCATATTAAGAAAAAGTCACTATAGCAAAATCAAATTCAGCAACCTGGGAAGGGGGGTCAGAGGGGAATTAAGTTACTACAATGTGCAATTTCAATTGCTTCATCAAATCATTTCTTACCAACAGGAAGATTACTGCTATTACTTCAACAATCTAGTTACTGTTCTTATTAATCACATGGTAGTGGCATCCAAAGGCTCAACACTGCAAACACCAAAGCTTGCTAATGCACAAAATCTAGACAGTTTCCATCCTCATAAGTCATACTATAAAATCTGTCACTTAATGTTATTATTATATCTCCTTGACCTTCCAAGTGAATGGTGTTCAAGAGGTTTCTATATGAGAATTCTACATGCATCTGTCCTCCACATCTATGCATCACAGCCAACCCATCACATACCCTACAGACCCCTTGGCCTATACTTGGGTGAAAACCAGTCACAAGAACACTTTGCATTAGGGCAGGGAGTGTGGGATGTGCTGGCAGTATTCATCTGCATACACTTACTTACTTACTTACTCATGGAGCTGAGCCCTTCAGGAGGAGCCACTAATTCTGCAGCTACGCAAGAATTTCCCAGCATTTTATGGAACCTGAAGGTTCATTACCGTGTTCACAAGAGCCCTCCACTGGTCCCTATCCTGAGCCAGATCTATCCAATCCATAACATCCCATCCTATCTCTCTAAGATCCATTCTAATATTTTCCACCCACCTATGCCTTGGTCTTCCCTGTGGTCTCTTTCCTTCTGGGTTTCCCACCAATATCCTCCTTGACTTGATCATTCATTCTAATTATACTTGGAGAAGAGTACAAGTTATGAAGCTCCTCATTATGCAGTTTTCTCCAAACTCCTGTCACTTCATCTTCCTGCATAATGCAGGAACGTATAATGCACGAATTGCTGTGCATCGTCTGGACTCTGCAATTCCAGTGCCCTTGAAATATTTGTTAGCTGGTCTAACTATAAGCACAAATGTGAGTTCATTCCAGGCGTAATCTGTGTCATGGTAAATACTCTTCTCCTGCAGCTAGTTAATGACTGAACATTAGGGCAACTAAATTCAAGTAACTTAGTTTACATTTTATAGACTATGCCTGATGATGCCCTAAGTAAAGGCTGAAACATGAGGCATACAACTGCTTATAATAAATGAGTAAGAGACGCCACAACATATATATGAGATGGTACTGGAAAGTTCCCAGACTGTTATCGTTGAAACTGCTTTGGTGAAAGAAGATGAGAGGGGACGTCCAGGTAACACTTCCAAAAGTCTATTGTATCAGTCGGCCATGTGACACCGCGCTGTGAACACGCATTGTTTTTACTTCATGTTTTGTTTCGTCTGCCATGGATGGCAAAATCAAGCAATGTGTCTGCATCACGTTTTGCAAAAACTCAGTAAATACGCTACTGAAACCCTTGAAATGCTTCGTGAAGCTTTTGGAAAACACTCTTTAAGCAGGAAAGCGGTTTCTGAATGGAATTCACATTTCAAGGCCAATCAAGTGTCAGCTGAAGATGACAAACATTTACTGCAACCAAGCACCAGCAAAATGACAGAAAATGTTGAAAAATTTCGAGAATTCATCAATGAAGAACATCACTGAACAATCCATGAGCTTGCAGAAACTGGTTAGATCAGTTACGGAGTTTGCCAGGAGATGCTCCTGCATCATGATAATGTACCTGCCCACATGTCCCTGAAAACCACAGAGTTTGTGACTAGCAACAACATGGTTAACATTCCCCATTCCCCCTAGTCACCAGACTTAGCTCCCAGTGATTTTACTTCATTTCCCAAACAGAAAGTTAAACTGAAGGGATGACGTTTCGAAACAGTGTCTGACATCCAAAAGGGAATTGCAAGCGGTACTCAACAGCATTAAGGAAAATGACTTCCATGGTGCTTTTGAGGTGTGGGAAAAACAATGGAATCACTGTATGTTCCCAAGGAGACTGTTTTGAAGGATATGGCAGCCAAAATTGAGTAAGTTAAGCCAACATTTCTTTTCTGACCTAGTCAGGGAACTTTTGTCTCCACCTTGAAGATATCCTTCCTTTTGTTGTGCTAACAGTCCTCATTTACCTACTGAACATAATTCTCCCACCCTGTTAATAAACTATTTACTTAGTAGTTTAACGGCCTATGTAGTCTAGGGGTAACGTTCCCACCTCATGACTCAAGGTACGCGGGTTCAAACCCGGCGGAGGTCGTGGAATTTTTAAGGGCGGAAAAATTCAGGGAATAAGTCCTCTGGGAGGGACTTTNATAATAATAATAATAATAATAATAATAATACTTAGCAGTTTTCAAACCGCTCACTTTCCTTAGCTAAATTGTACTACATGATAATACTGCACTGAACTGACTTGCTACTGACAGAAATGTCTTGTATAACTGCAAGGCAACAAAGACTACAGGCTGCCACCAAACCCTTATTGTGACTGGCTGCCGACCTCCCAGAAACGGTTAAAAATGAAAAGTAACATCACTGCTACTAATCTAGCATCAGAAAATTAAAGGTCTGTCATTACTGATCTGGAGGATAAGAATTCTAAAGGATCTGCAACTTACCCGTATTTTCGGGTGAACACTAAGACAGTATGGCTGGTTCTGGTACTGCTGAATCTCTCCTGTGATCTCTGCCACCTTGCGCCTTTTACTGAAGTTGATGAGTTCAGGGGAGTTGGGCAGGTAGTCTGGGTTGCCCTCTTCAATGTGTAGGATATTGGTCAGGTACATGCCTAAGAGAAGGGTACATAAATACGGGTAAATTACATAAAATCTGATCTACTATCACCGTACATGCATACTACATGTGCATCAAAACTACAGTGTAGGAATTTAAAAAGAACTACTCACCAAAGAAGGGAACGCATGGCGGGTTAATAGAACGAAGTTTCTCTTGATATTTACGGAAATGATCATTGTTCAATTCCCTTGCTTCTTCAAGTGCCTTTTCCAGTCTTTCTGGTAATTTCTGAATTAACATTACAACACATTATCCACATTTTACACAGAAATGCTACATTCTGTAGAAACGGTTACATGGAAAAATGAAAATGCCATTTACCATACAAGTTTTATCAAGAAATTTGCAAGTGTACTACTATGAACAAACACTTCTGTCTCAATACTGGTTCATTTCATGGAAATGAATCGATGTTCACATATAAGGAAATACATCCTTAGAAGAAATAAACACTGTGGATAGAGTGAAACTGTAACAGCATCTACAGTCTGCAGTGAGAATTCAACATAGCAAGAGAAACAGACAAGACCTTTAATTTCAAACTTATATTAATAGAAAATCACAACTGAATGTTTCTTTGGGATCAAACAGTTCTAAACACTAAAGTGATAAAAACCTCAAATAGCAGGAACACAGAGCTGGATAATGGGAATGTGACTGACGGATCTGAAAGTTAAATGAGGGCAAACTTTAAATGACGTACGGAAACATAATGTTTACAAAAACTGCTCTGATTCAACCACTCTATAATAAGACCACTAGCCTTATTCACACAATATATAAATAAGAATGTTCATCCAAAATTGTATTTTATGTATTATTTCATAAAAAATTGTCCAAAAGCAAGCAATCCATGTGATTTTATATAACCCACTGTGTTGGCATTCAAGTGGTATATTTGTCTCCTTACAAGAGCCACTTAAGGCAGCATAGCTTCCATCTTTCTGGTGTCTGCCCATGTCAAGGTTTATTATTAGTATTCAATTCTCAAACTGTAAGTTCCAGAACCCACAAGGCAGTGGCTTAGAAGTTCAGAGATGTCTTGTTTGGTGACAACTTGAAATATTAAGCGCAGGTTATTGGAAAGTTATTATGTGTCTACCTAAATGCTGTCCAGAATGAATGCCATTTTGCCTCAGGAGTGAGACTCTATACTCCGATGCAAGAGATCTCGGATGCTTTTACTCCTATACAGGTTACAGTCTATACAGTTATAGTTATCCTATAGTTATAGGATGATTAAGATGGCTGCCTCAAGAGGATGTGGAAGAAATATGTCATAGCCTACTCTAAGGTACTGTCACAGCATTTGCTGAGTGTGACTTAAGAAAACCATAAAATATCTCGGTCAAGATAGATGGTCTCTGGATTTAGATTCATACATAGGATTTCCGAATACTAAGCAAGAACATAAAGTATGGCTCCATGTATTCTAATCCTGGCATTATAATTGCTTTTACCCTCAGAGAATAAGCAGGAAGAGGAGACTGGGTAGGTCAAAGTTACTTTTTGGATATGGCGGTAAAAAGAAATCTAAACTGTCAATAATATACCTGAGAGGAACATTTCAGTCGGAAGACAGAAGCTGAACCCATAGCTGAAACAACAGCCAAGACACCATTAAAGTTGTTCAGGTCTTGCAGCACCATCATGATTTCTACGATCCGAGACATTGTTGCCACTCGCTCTTCAAAATTCTCTGCCTCCACTATATTTTTCTCTAGCCATCGAGTGAACTGTGAACAAATACCAGTAATTCATGATTGTCGTCCAGAAAGTAAAGACTGTTTGCGCATAGCACCTGCACAGGTCAACAAATTGTACTGTTTCAAGGTTAACAAGGCCTCAGTAGTCTTTTAGTAACAAGCCAAGTGAATGGCATGCTGATTCTGTTGTTTTGAGATTTGTTGCAGTATTTAAAAATGACTAAGAAAATTGAGCATCCCAACAATTGTGAAGTGCAGGCTGTAATTTGGTATCTGAATGCACAAAATTCCATCTGATTGAAATTTACTGTCAACTTATTGCAGTGTATGGGGAAGGTGCAATGAATGAGTCAAATATGAGAAAGTGTTGTTGAATATTTGAAGAGAGCAGGACAAACGTTCACGATAAGGAGCGATTCAGGTGCCCATCCCTCATCAATGAGGGCTTGAAAAACAGAGTGATCAACAGATCAGGACAAACAGGTGTTTCACTCTTGATTAAATTCATGAGAAATTTCCTTAAATTTCTTGTTCGCTGATTTATAAAATTGTTACAGAGCATCTCCATTACAAAAAAAAAACACTGTGCAATATGGGTGCCTAGATCAAGGCTAGGGCTTTCCAGGTTGACAAAATCTATTTCAGTTTTATGGGTTTTGATGGCGAATGAGAATGATGCCACTTCCAGAGATGTTTGAAACCCATGTTTCATCTCCTATGACAAAGTTCCATAAAGTGATCGCCCTCTTTGTGATAATGATCCAAGAATGTCAAAGCAACACCCATATGCTGGCTCTTGTGCTCTTGAGCGAGCATCCATTGCACCCATTTTACACAATTGTTTTTTGTAGTGGAGATGCTCTATAACAATTTGATAAATCAGCAAACGAGAAATTTGAGGAAATTTTTCATGAATTTCATTAAGAGTGGAACACCTGTTCGTACTGATCTGTTGATCACTCCTGTTTTTCAAGTCCTCATTGATGAGGGATGTGCACCCAGATTGTTTCTCATTGTGAATACATGTCTGCTCTCGTTAAATATTTTACAGCACTTTCTCATATCTGACTCATTCATTACACCTTTCCCAAACAGTGCACTAAGCTGACAGTACATGTAAATCAGACAGGCAGTTTGTGCATTCAAAAATCGAATTACAGATGGCTCTCCACAATTAGTGGGATTCTTGATATTTTAAATAGAATCAAAGTATCATTCACTTGGCTTGTTACTAAAAGACTACTGAGGCCTTGAAAACCTTGAAACAATGCAATTCGTTGACCTATGCAGGTGCTATGCGCAAACAGTCTTTACTTTCTGGATGACTCTCATATTAAATCATCAATATGTTACTTTAAATAATCTGGCAAAACTTTCCCGTAGTATTCATACAAATTTTCACTTACAACCACTTTCACTTCAGGTTTTAATTTACTTAGTATTTGAAATCAGTTAAAGGATCTCTCTCATCATCTCAGAAACATTTAAATCTTCTCAAGGCTTCTCATAAGTAGAAACTGTTGCCATGAAAATATACAATTTTTTAAAATAAAAAATATGTATGGCAAAATTTATATTCTGCTACATGACATGCAACAGAATATGAAATATTACTCATGTGTTGTATGTGAATACTTACATTGGTAGTATGTTTAATCATTCGAAGCAAGTTGGGGGAAGTCTGTTCTTTGTTCTTCTTGGTCCACACACTTCCAACCAACTCTGAAGGTTTCACAGCCCTATATAATTCAAACTCCAGTAATGTTAGCTGTCTGGCGATTTCAATTGGATGCAACTGTGAACACAGAGGGCACACCATGTACTTACTGTTCTTTTACGAGTATATAGATATTGGCTGGATGCATTCTTGTAAACCATGATGCCATGTAAAACGTTACGCAGATCCATTTTTGTTGTAACAAACTTAAGACGCAAATAAATTCTGTTCCTCAGCCTTTCTTCACCTGCATAACATGCATTATAATATAGACAATTAGAATGCAACTGTAAATACTTATACATTCTTGGCCAAAAATGTCTGCAATTATGAACTATTAGTACAATAATGTTTACTTAACATTTATTATATTGTATTTACTGATGGCCAAAGGTGAAGCAACTGAAGGTGGACGACAGCCTGTTCCTGTCAACACTAAACACTTGCTTGGGTGAGTAACCCTTCACTCTGACCATTTTCTTAAACTCTTGGATGAACAATGATGTAATAACAAGTTAACATAATTTGATTTGTCTCATTTTGGTCCGTCACACTACTAATTACAGAATGGATAATTTTCAGTCCAGTGTGACATAAGTTTACAATAATTCAGTCTTTTTCACCTTACATGTTTCGATTCAAAAGAATCATCCTCAGAGGCGCACCACTACGATCAGGAAACACTGTCACAGAAGATGTTCTAACCATATTCACTTATGCTATGAATAATGCTCACTATATAAATTTTGTTATTTATGCGTTTGGTTTTGGTGTGTGTCCCAGGCATTCACGACGGCGCTTCTTGAAGAGTAGACTTAAGTATGATGTTTCTTTTAGGCGTAATGCTGGGTATTCTGACTGGGATTTTCCACTGCACGCAATATGATATTCTCTTTTCATACATTAGCCTCCCAATGTATTTAAAATTATATTAAAATTTTAAATACATTGGGAGGTAATGGTAATAAACATGACAACAAATGGTTTGATGAAGATGGGTTTAAATAGAGAAATGAAATCTACTTTAGAAAGATCCTGTATTATACAGATTACGCACTTACTAATATTAAAAATAAAGAAACTGTGATTGGCCCAGTTACAAATAATAACTGGATATCAAGTTCAATGTGGTGTGTAAAACTTAAAGATCTTTGCTCTCCACACTGGACTACATCTTTTTACCATGACAATATATACTGTCAAGTGTCCTTAATTGTGAAATAATGATATAATAAAACTCTGTCAATTCAGCAATCTCTCTGCAACTGCCGCATTACAACCAAACAATTTCTACAGATGAAAAAAAGAGTTCAAACTTAGCAAAGTATGAAATCCCAGCACCAGATTATTAAGGCACTCCAATAGATGATAAAATAACTGACAATAGGGACACCATGTTAAGTGACATGATGATAGGTTAGAGTTGGATGGGTGACCACACAATTTTACTCCACCCTCCTGCCGCATAGTATACCAATTGGACAAGGCATCGATTTCACAGACTGGTGCACGTGTGCACGCAATGTATGGCTATTTACCACATAGAATCTGACAATGGAAATCTCCAAAATGCTGGTTTTTAACCCAACACTGACATGACTGATCACCCAAGAAAATTTTAGGACATCTAATAAGCATGAAAGCTTCAAATCTCGCATAAATTAATTATGACTTTTGAAATCAGAGTACCACAGAAAATAGTTTGCAGTGCTCCTACCGGCTAATGCACAAGCCATACATAAAAAAAAAGTCTTCCCACTATGCATGAGTTAGAATTTCTTTACATCTGAAGAACACTGCCATTAGCGCAGAAAACAGAGATGTTCATAAAATATACAATTCATGTCTGCTCAAACTTACTGTAAGAATTGTCCATTCCTCTTCAGGACAGCATATATGCCATTCTATAGGCGGTGGGGAACGGCCAAAATTAAATGTTATTTCCCGCTGCAGTTCATTAGGATCAGACTGAAATCACAGCAATGAAATTATCTAAAAATACTGGCTGAACGTCAACTGTAAAGTCTACACACCCATTTTGTGATGGATATCTTTAATACAAACATTATTTATCATTTCACTATATTTTCACACAAAAAATTCTTAATTCTTTACAGTAACACATTTCCACTTCCAACCATTCGAAATCTTGCATGGTCACTCAATATTACCAACTTCCAGTCAGAGTGTAGAACAGCTGCAAGTAACTAGTTACAAATTCTTTGTCCACCAGTGCCAACTAAGGACTTCATCACAATACACGACATGAGGTACCACTTTAGTTTTGGACTGATAGGTTTGGTTATGCCATTATAGAGCAGCTCACTAAACTATATTTGACAGGTGAGAACACTACTTGTATGAGGGTCGTAGTGAAAGCCATGAGCAACAATATTTTGTAAAGCAACATGCTTTATTATTGACAAACCAAATACACCACCTCAATCTACAGACCTTTCTTTATTTTTCCACATAATCGCCACTTCTTTGTACACATTTCCTTCTGTAAAATTCTGTTCCAGCCATCTGAAGACACTGACGCACTGCTTTCTGAATTACCTCCCCTGTCTCAAAACATTGTCCACGCAGCTGATCCTTCACAAATCCGAAAAGATGGTAGTAGGAGGGTGCCAGATCAGGGCTATAGGAGGGGTGTGGAAGAACTTCCCGCCCCATCTTTGCAATTGCTTCCAATGTGAGGCAAGCAGCGTGGGGGCGAGCATTGTCATGCAGGATGTTGATGTTTCGTCCTGGACGTTTATTGCGCAATGCATGACGGATCTTGTGCAGCGTCTGGACATATCGAGCAGCATTGATGGTTTGCCCACGTTCCAGGAATTCGGCCAGAATAAACCTCTCTGCATCCCAGAAGGCTGTGCCCATCACCTTTGCAGCTGATGGCACTGTCTTTGTCTTCTTTTTTTGATGGAGAATGCAAATGGTGCCATTCTATACTCTGCTGTTTCGTTTCAGGTTCAAAATGGTGAAACCAGCTTTCGTCACCTGTCACAATACAGAGCAAAAAATCATCGCCTTCGTGTCAATATCTCTGCAGCAGTTCTGAGGTGATGGCTTTTCGCTGACCTTTGTGGTCTTCGGTCAATAACCGTGGGACCCAACGAGCACAAACTTTCCTATAGCCCAAGCTTTCAATCATCTCCTGTACTGCGCTGTGCCCTATTCCAAGTTTTCAGGCTATTGTGTCCACAGTCACACGCCTGTCATCTTTAATGATATCATCCACATTTTCCTTGTTGCGTTCAGTTGAGGCTGTTTGAGGACAACCGTTCCTAGGCTCATCTTCGATGCTCGTGCTCCCATCTTTAAAACATTTCACCCATCTTCGAACACTGCTCGCACCCACGCACACACTTCCATAAGCATGCTGAAGTCTCAGGTGAATTTCTGCAGCAGGGATTTCCTCTTTCACAAGAAATTCGATGACAGCATGCTGGCGAAATGACATATCGTCAGCCATTTTGTTAGGAGTGATACTGGTCACATGATGCAAGCTATTGATGTCACAAGACACTCAAGGTTAACACAACAGCTGGTTCCACCTACCACCGTACTCTCTTTCTTCTGCTGTTCCCAGGTTGCATGCAAAAAAAGTTGCTCATGACTTTCGGTACGACCTACGTAGGAGATGGCAACAGTGCCATGACAGAGGGAAACAAACCCCATTTTAACAGCTTTTCCATATTTCAACCATTTCTCCTTCAAAAACATACTACTCTTCCATTGTTAAAACTTGTCATTTTCTTACTTCCATGAAGCCAAAGAATCAAGAAGCCTAATGGACAGATATGTTAACAGTTCACAGTAATATACAATATATAATTTAAGGGCAAACACATTTCCGTAAGCTATTACAGCAAGCCTTCTGCACAGCAGTGCAGCAGATGCTGAGGTTTCAAGGTCCTTTTTCCTTGAATTGTAGCTTACCTTACTTTAGAGCAGTGTTTCAAAGTGTTAAACTTCTGTTTCTATGCAGGCCTCACACCTCGAGTAAATGGGTCTGTATACATGGCAAAGATGTTGTATAGGAATAGCCAAAATTTTTGCTAAATATTTTCTTCCAGCTCTTTCAAAGAGTGAGGATTGTTCACATAAACTACATCTGTTAGTGTACCCCACAGAGGCCTCCGCAGTCTAGGGGTAATGTTCCCACCTCATGACTCAAGGTACGTGGGTTCAAACCCGGCGGAGGGCGTGGAATTTTTAATGGCGAAAAAATTCAAGGAACAAGTCCTCCGGGAGGGACTTTAAGCCGTGGGTCCTGTCTCATAGCTTTATGGCATGTAAAAGAACCTCATGTCTCAAGACCTCCGAGCCAAATTGAAGGACATTTCCCGCCCAACAATAGTCTCTAATGCCTCTGGTAGATGGGGGAAGCATCTAGATATCGCTGAGCCAGTAGAGGCCAAACTCGCTGGCTGAGTCGAGACTGATGGCATGCACCAGTACCGGTAGGGTATAGAGACTAGTAGAATATCACAGGGGGACATACAATAGATCAAACTGGTCGTGGTGCATGGGGAAACCCACCCCCTACAATAATAATAATAATAACAGCGTACCCCACAAACAAAAGTCAGACTTAAACCAGGTGAATGCAGAGGCCACAATAATTGACCAATCACTCGTTTACTAAAAACACCAGTTAACTCATCCATATATTTTTTTTATTGCTAGTGGGGTGGGGCTAAGTCCCTTGTACTGCGGCCACATCTGGCCTATTGTACCAGCCCCAGATGATAGGTGAGGGTGATTGGGGAGCAGTGGGTGGAAGGAAGATTGACAGGGGAAACCGAAGAACTCGGAGAAACCCTGCCCCAGTGCCACTTTGTCCACCACAAATCCCACTTGACCAGACCTGGGATCAAACCCAGGCCACCACGATGGGAAGCCAGCAACTAACCGCTTGAGCTATGGTGTGGCCTACTCACCCACATAACTACTAGCTGCATGTATCATGCTACTGTCCTGCATGAAATGCTACTAACCCTTTTCTTCAAAAGTAGATTATAGTAAAAAGGTATCAGAATTTACCTCACACAATGTTCAGAATTTACTATTTCTTCATAAAATATAGCTCCCTTAAACTCTGAGCACTAACTAAATCTGATTAACAATCCAAATCCCAAATAAGCTTCTTTATGACCGCTCCACGTTGGCAAGATGGCCTCAAAACACCTTCTCCTCATGGTCTGTGGGGAAACTGGTGGGCATACTGTGCGATTAATTTACCAGTAGTCTTTCATATTGTTGTTTCTAAGTAGCTCCATCAAAATTATCAGGCCTAAAACCTTTTCATTCCTGAAATGATAATACTGGACCACTTCAGCGTTTCCAGTGATACCTTCCATCAGTGAGAATTCTGACTGTGGTAGAGATTAAATTTATCTGTGGAAGTTGCATGCACTCATCACCAATTGCAACAGTGATAGCTTCAATAACTCAGGCTGGTTTACCAATAACTACATTCAATTCTGTGGTTCCAAGAAACAGCTCAGCACTCACCTTTGCATCAGTTTTACACAGCACTACTATCTCAACACCACAGTAAATGCTTTCTTCATCAATTAAAAAAAAAAACTTTCATCTTCAGCTGCACTGCACAATCATCACTCATGAAAACAAGACAAGGTCACAACCGTTTGTCTGAATTAGTTGTAGCTACAACAATGTCCATGTTTTCTGCTTCAGTACTTTCATCATAAGACACATCAGAAAACTGAACTGTGTAAAGTTCTGACAAAATATCACCATTCACTATATCTGCCACTTACTTACTTACTTGGCCGCACCACAGCTCAAGCAGTTAGTCGCTGGCTTCCCACCGCAGCAGCCAGAGTTCAATCCCGGGTCTGGTCAAGTGGGATTTGTGGTGGACAAAGTGGTGCTGGGGCAGGTTTTCGCAGAGTACTTTGGTTTTCCCTGCCAATCTTCATTCCACCAATTGCTCCACAATCACCCTCACCTATTATCTGGGGCTGGTACAATAGGCCAGAAGTGGCCGCAGTACAAGGGACTTACTCCAACCCAACTAGCAATAAAAAAAATTACTTACTTACTTACTTATGGAGCTGAGCCCTTCTTGAGAAACCGCCGATTGTGCAGGCACTCAAGAATTTCCCAGCATTTTATGGAACCCGAAGGTTCATTACCGTGTTCACAAGAGCCCCCCACTGGTCCCTATCATGAGCCAGATCAATCCAATCCATACCATCCCATTTGATCTCTCTAAGACCCATTTTAATATTGTCCAGCCACCTATGCCTTGGTCTTCCCAGTGGTCTCTTTCATTCTGGCTTTCCCACCAATATCCTATATGCATTCCTATTCTCCCCCATTTGTGCTACATGCCCTGCCCACCTCATCCACCTTGACTTCATCATTCTAATTATACTTGGAGAAGAGTACAAGTTATGAAGCTCCTCATTATGCAGTTTTCTCCAACCTCCTGTCACTTCATCCCTCTTTGGTCCAAATATTCTGCTCAACACCCTGTTCTCAAAAACTGTCAGTCTATGTTCCTCCCTCGATGTCAAAGACCAAGTTTCACACCCATACAGAACCACAGGCAAAATTAGTTTTGTATATTCTAATTTTTATGTTTTTGGACAGCAGAAGAGAAGACAAAAGGTTAAAAGTAATGGGTTCTAGTTTGCATGATTGGATTTATTAGCACTTCGGTTACAAGTTCTCTTAATTACCCTCAATACAGTGCTATCACTGATTTGCACACTTGCCAGTCCAATATTGCTCACACACTAGGATTCCCAGTCTTCACTAGTCATCTCCTGGCATCACATCTCAACACAGAAATTAGCGCTTCAAATCCCTATGAAGTCTTCTTGCCATTTCGCCTTCAATCACTCTGGAACCTCAGAACTAAAAATTCTTCTAGACTCACTCCTCTAGCTCACGACCGACTTGTAACTGCCCTGAAATGAGCTTGCTTTTGCATTAACTTCCCTTATAAGCACTCTGCACAGATCCCATGGAAAACAGTCTCTATTGTTGATGATGTCACCACTTTCATAGCATGGTTCAATATGCGGAAATGTGTTTATCAAGCCAGTGCCTACGAGCAGAAGTGGGTTACATAACCCCACTGTTCCACCGCTGCTTGGTTCAGATGACTCAAAAAACACAGCTTCATCTAATGTTGAGTGTTGGACCGTGTTAACAGTGATGTTTCCTGGCAATGCGTTGATCAGATCCATTATGATATATTTTGGAAGTGAGGGCAATTATGGTAATATTGTTGTTCATACATACAGTAGCGAAGAGCACAGATCGTGTCTGCAGAAGACAAATATCTTGCTTCAAGTTCCTAACAACCAACACTGATATGTCAGTGAGAGCAGCACCCATGAGGTGAAGAACAACACAGCTGACAAAACATAGATCTTTGTGAACCACATTAAACACATGGAATTTAAATCACAGACCTGAACTACTCAAAATGTGTTAATAATACACAGCTTTACCACACCTGCCATGCTTCACAGCATGGCACTGAAGGAACAGGGACAACTTTACTTACCTCACTTTACTTTCAAATAGTTCTTAATACAGTCTTTATGGTGGATCTACCAAGACAATGTATTGTCACCTCATACAGAACCAGTGTCTTTGTTAAGATAATTCTTACATCACTGTACTAATTTTAATTAGAACAGTGGTCCTTAATATGTTAAATCATGAAACCCATGCATCCAAATTGAAGTTTGAAACTCATGTCACTTTATGAATGAGAGTACTTGTATATAAATTCTGTCCTAACTTACTTGTATGAGATCAGTTGAAAAGCATATATTGAGGGCCAATTTCACTTCTGATTAAGACATCGACAGCTATTACTAATTATGTACAATTACTTAATGTTTTTCAAACACTTACCTTCCTCTGCACTATTTTGAGAACAGAGTCAACCCACTTTCTCATTGACTTGCCATTTACTGTGTCAAGGAAGGCATGAAGTTTTTCAAGCAATGAAGGGTCTCGCTCAAAATCATAAAAATGATGATCCACCCAATGCCTTAACACATTCAGCACTCTGAACTGCACTGGCTGACAGTATTCTTTCCTATACCTCTTCCAGTCTTCCCTCTGGGAGTTCTTGATTGTCTTTTCTGACTCCAAAGAGTCCTTGTTGTCATCGTAGACCAACGATGGATCAGGAATGTTGAATCTCTCCACCAAGAGGTCCAAGAGTTCCTACACAGGCAATTACAAAACAATATCCATAGAAATCTATGTACCTCTGAAACAGTGATGTATTTTTTAATGAACTACACAGCTTTTTATGCCAGAAGACAGAACTATTCATATCCACACCTGTGAAAACCTCAAATTCTCCAAAATATCCAGCAACCAACAACCTTTTTTACTTACTCTTTTTGCCTTTTCCATTTCCATTATCAATGTGGTAAGTTCAAAAAACTTTTACCTCAGAAAATGGCTGGTCCAGTAGATAATATTCCAGTACAGGGAGTTTGGGGACTTTGTGATAAATGTGTTAAGAATGGTAGTATTAGGAGAAAAATGAAAATTTAAACACTAAAAATAATATAGATTATGACAAGAAAATGGGACAAATCATTTGGATACAATGACAGGTGAAAGAACACAGAAACAGATCCTACAGAATATGCCAGAAGGATGCTGAGACCAAGTGAGACACTGGACAAGAAGAACTGAGTATGTGAAGACAAAAGAGGGTTGTTTGCCTATATCACACAGTCTAAAAGAAGACTGAGTAACGAAACACTTACCTGGGGTGAGCAGAAGCTGCGGTATGTGGTGAGGAATGTCCTTACAAACATAGGATCAGCATAAATGTGATACGTTAACCTCTCCACTAACTTGTATAGTGTTGCACCCTGTTATAAAATACAAGAAATATGTCAAATATAAGATATCAAAACACAAGCATACCCAGCAACAAGCTCATTAAAACTATGAAGCAGAAAAATACAGAAAACAGCATCTGTTTATTTCTAAACCATATTATTTACTACCATCTAAACATTACTACAGAATTTCCTTTTCTGATATTTATGTTTTCACCCAATAAATGAACATCATACAAATATATACATACTAATGTATGTGTGTTACACTATTATTTTATAGGACTGGAATTGTTCTAAAACAATTAGACTTGAACATGTGAATCTACAAATATGTAAATTTAAATTTCATTACTTACTTCTTTAGCCCTAAAACAAAAGTTGGTCCAATTAAGGACATATGGGCTATCTGATGAAAAGTTACATGACATCATGATTAAAAACTAATTTTATGTTGATCAAATGGCATCACGCATCAGGCAATGTACACAGTTTTCCTTTCAGTTTTATAAATTTACACATGTAAGTAACAGATTAAAAGATGACACAGATATCTTCAGCATCTCACCTTTATAAGAGGCACTCCAGCATTTTCCCGCTCTTCAAGTACTATATTGGATTTAGAGTCTGCCTCCGCAAATCGGTATATTGAAGGTGAAGGTAAGCGTAGTGGGTGCTTCTTCTCTTCATCCAACAAGATACTGTCCAGAGTGCGTTCCAACATACTAATGAAAGAAAGAAAATAAAATTTCTTTAATCCATCCACATGCACGCTGACAAGTGAAAGAGAAGACATTAATACTAGATTATTGAGGTTTGTCTTGCATAACATACCTTTCTCAATTGTTTTGTAGCATCAAACTTGAGGATGACTGATACAAAAGGAAACAGTCAAGGCCTATTTTAACACACTGTAGAAGGGCAAGGCACAGGCATGTGTCTCCCCTTCTCTCCCTCACACACATGCATCACCCATACATGGGCACACATTAACACACAGAAAAACCTGACTGTAAGCAACCTGAGACACAACAATGCTTCATTATTTCAAGAAGCAGTTACAACAGACTGCAGGGTGATTCAAAGAACTAAGCGGACTGAATGGTAGAATTGTAATACACATTGTATTAGAAGGCATAGGTTACAGGTAGTCTATGTTTATTATGAGACCTAAACATCTCTCTTCAAGCTGGTAACCATGGTATGATGTCAGCCAGGGCTGCACCCAGAAGATGAAGGATGATTTAGCTGACAAAAACATATATCCATGTGACCCACTCACAACACACGAGATTTCCACCATGGCTTTTGACATAATCTGTCTGCAGTGTGTTAATATCTGAATATTTAAAGGTATCTGAAAGCAAAAAACTCAGAAGATATTTGGATCTATGACAGATGAAGTAACAAAGACAAGGAGAAAATTATATGTGGAACTTCATAACCCATATTCTTCACCTAATGCTGTTAGGGTAGTTCAATGAAAGATAATATGGGCAGACAGAATAGACAGGCATACAAAATTCTGAAACAAAACATGAAGGGAAAAGACCACTTGTGAGACTTAGGCATAGAAGGATCTCAGCAGAATAAGACATACAGATGTGGACCAGACAATGGTACAGGACAGGGTCCATCGCAGGCTTTTGTGAACACAGTGCTGAACTTTTAAGGCGCATAAAACCATGGAATTTCATTAGCACCTGTGCAACTATGATATTTGAAAGGAAGACCTTGCACCATGCTGTTCTAATTTGTGATTTTACAGTATTCATAAAAGTATATGCACAAACCTCTTTGTATTGAGCATGATGAGGTCAGCCATCCAGTTATTTTTGTCTTCAGGAGACTTTGCTACAAGTATAACGTTTGGCTGAACTCGTGGAGCAATCTCAAATGCATTCTTCAGTTCTAGAAAAGGAACACATTACAAAAGTAGTTATCAACATCCTTTATAGCATGCTATTATTACATACAGCTTAATTTTTAGGAATTCAATGCTATTTTTAAATAAAAAAAAAATATATTTATATTATGACAAAATATAATACGAAACACAGTATTTTACTGATTATTATTTTTTTTATTGACATTACATAGCTGCATACCTTCTGTATCCTCACGGTCAATAATCTCCACTTTACGAATGAAGAATCTCTCTTTAAGGCGATACTCTCCACCAATTGGTCCCGTAACAGAAACAGACGCTCTCTTGCTGTTGGGTTTGCACAGTATCATGAGTCCATCAAAAAGAAACACTCGCCTCTCTGTAAGTCGTCGCCCACTTCCCACCTTTCGCAGTACATCTTCTGCAACAGCCAGAAATCATGTACAGTATATCAATGTACACAATGTTTCAACAGCAATACTTTCAGGGTTAAATGTATTAATTCTGTATACCTGGAAAACTGATACACTGTATGTACATAGTTATAAAACAAGGACTTTTTTCTACATTATCAACTTAAAATCACTGGTTTGTTACTGCATAAAACATATGTATACTTCATTTTTGGACATATAAATAACACTGCTGATATACAATATGATATAATATGCATACGTGATGATTTTGAGAATTCTGCAGAGTTTGAAAATTATTTTATGATATTGTCAGTAGATAGGCTACAAGGCAATGACAGAATTCTGCAGATTATAACTGTTAAAGAAAATATGTATTACTAAAAATCAGTTCATTTCACCTGACCAAAACTAATTTTACAACTGTGCTATATGACAGAAACCAATAAATAATTTTTACTAGGGTAACAAGACTTTGTGGCCGCCTGTATATTATTACACAAAGTTACAGGCAAAGTAATTATGGTGCAACACAATTTAATGTTTAGGAAATTCAAGGAAGATTACCAGAAGAGAAAGCTAAAAAATACAGATGTCCCTGTGCCCAAGCAGCATGCCATAAATGCACACAGGAACACAGAAGTATAGCCTTGCACATTCCAAATCTCAATTACAGTTGGAGTGGTTAGCTTCACACTGAGGCTACTTTATGTATTAAACAGGAGGCTACATAAGCACCAGCAAAACATGAAAATGGTGAAGAGAAAATCCCTGCCCCATACAGGAATGAAAGCCCTGCTGTCTAGCATATAAACAGAAACTTTACTAATTGAGGCATCTCAACTACATCAGAAAAATAAAGACAAATAACGTTCTATTAGTGAATTTTTGTCTTCAATATGTACTGCCATTGCACAATAATTCTCCGATGAGAAATTCCCCCACTCCCCAGTTATTTCTTCTTTACTCTACGCCTGATCCTAGGTGGTCATTCTGTACTCAGGTAAATGTAAATATATATAAAATACTATGTTGTGAAACTGTGACTTCATCCTGCATTCACTTACCTCGAATAAATTCATTACAGCATTGGCCTATGTCTTTACCTTCCCAACCATCTATGGATTTCTGTAGTTCATTGGTTTTTTCAAGGGCTGATTGTCGTCTTGCTCGACCATGCATTCGAACCCCAGTCTCTCTAAAAATCAAATTCACTGTCACATTCAGTCTGAACAGAACACATAAAACAAGGAATTTCAAATTCCAAATCATTTTTGTAATACTCAGAATAAACTTACTTTTTTGGCAAGCTGCTAACCGTCTGTTTAAGTTCCATCTGCAAAGGTCGAAGCAGACCTTCTACTTGCTCTAAACTTTCACCATCTTCATCTCCCGGCTTTAATCGATGTAGGATCTGCATTACACAGAATTTTCCTTCAACTGGTTGAGAAAGTGATTTACAGCAAGACATCATATTATGCTAAATGCTTGTGATTATAGAAAACGAACAAATTATGGGTTAACAGATATGTGAAACACAATACCACATCCCCCCCTCCCAGAAACAAAAATATGTGGATGAAAAGGGAGAACAATCTTCCCTTCTCAACTTGCAGAACTGTATATCTCATTTAATATGGACAAACCTCTCACAGCATCAGATTGCTGTCATAACACATCTCCTGGCACCAACAGTATCAAAGACCAGTAACATAAACAGAACTCCACCAGTGGAGCTACAGTGGTCAGCCTATCACTTTCCCTTTCAAAATTCCTTGAGGGTTATTTTTTCCATGTGGGTTTCAGCAGTGTCTTATCTGCAATTCATCTTCAAGAAAAATGAATATTACAAGGATAAATTTTTAGTCTGTCTCTGCCAATATCATCATCATCAATAAGATGGTTAATGATGATAGTCATCAGTCTCAATATAACTGTATGATGACATCACCATCTACTCTGGTTGCCAGAGCACTGTTTCAACTGAATGCTGAATTCAGATCACTATAAACCATCTGCCACACTTGTCTCTGGAGAACATACTTTCTTCCTATGTGGAAAAGACCCAGGGCATACTTCTTCACTCCACTAAATACCTTAAAAAACAGCACTCTACCATTTGTTCCATCGAGTTTCTTGGCCTTCATCTTGTGAGAATGCTCTTGTGGGAACCTCACTTCAGATAGGTTAAAAGTGGTCAATAAATAATTTAAAAATTTTACCATGCAGGTCTTGGGGCAGGGACTAGGCTGTAATGCTCCACTTTCACCATACCCTATTTCACTTAAAGACAGAATATAGCAGCTCAGTGTATAAGTCTGCACTGAATTCCAGAGTCTCTCTCACAGACCCTGTCCATAACACTGGAATTCATTTTGCCACTGGTGTCTTCCACACCAGCTTTTCTTGAATGTCTACATGCGGAAACACTCCCTTTCCCTGATGATGAAACTCATCTGTAGTTATGCAGCAAAACTGGCAACACAACCCCCCACAAATGTCTTAAATTGTGGTAGCTCAAGCTATCCAACACACCGGGCCTCAGTTGAATAACAGGGCCTCTTGACCTGTCAAGTGTGTGCCTTCATCACTTTCTGCTGAGTCTCAACATGCACATTCCACACATTATACCAAAAGACACTCATATATTCTATATTGGCAAATATGCACATCCTGCATACGAGGTGTGACACATCTGCCCTTACCTGCTCAGGATATAAGCCCCATTTTCAACACAAATCTGTAGAACAAGTGCCTTCAATTTGAATATTTCTGTGTTATGTAACATTTTCTAATAACGAAAATATCCTGTAATTTGGATTATATCTATATTACTGCTGCCTAAACAGGAAGATAAAATTTGCAGCTATATCTTCAACTTACCTTGATGTATTCAAAATATAGGAAACAATGCCAGACGGGCCCAAGGAGAAGTTTAGGCAGGTAATATTTCACAGCCTCCCGAAATCCATGACCCGCTGACTGTAGTGCATCAGATACCTCAGGTCGACTAAGCAATCGTGTGAGGGCATCTCGACTTTGTTGCTGAGTGATGTCCTTGGCGTAACGGCCATACACATCAAATTCAGCAGCCTAAACAAATTTAAAATGCCCAACATTAGTACCTAATGTGAAGATTTCCTACATGGTACAAAATTATTAACACTTTGCATCCTCCTTTCTAATGATGAAGGATGAAAATATAACGGCTGTCCTACAGGTAATATGCAGTAGGAAGGTAACCCTGTATTGCAAGTAATGGGTGAAACTTCATTTTAAATAAATGGTTGTCTTGACTGTTGTTATACAGCAACTGTTGAAAAGACTGATTTAACTTCTGAATCTCAGAATGGACTTCAAAGCACCCATACCTATGGAGGAGGACAGAATGAAAATCATTAAATGTTAATTTAAAATTAGCATCTAATTACCTCCAGGGAAAATACATTAAACAGATAAATATAACTATACGTAAACCAGGTACCACTTCATTCGTCTCCAGGATCATAAGTGGATCCTGAAGTTACTGTTACCTTTCTACTATATAAGTGTAGGGGACTGATGTCAAGAAATAACTTCACCTGCACCTTACAAGGATTTTGGTCACGAGATAATGTTTTACCTCAGCCAACTCCTCAAAGCAGCTGCCTATAGCTGGGACCTGTTTCTCCTCACTGATCTCCAGTGTATCTTCTAATGACCCAAGCAATGTGACTGTCAGCTCATAGATGTCCATGATATTGCTGAACATGGCATCCAATTCCTATGAACATACACAAAAAATAGTGCACCTGCAGTGACTATAAAAGAAATGTGCTTATTATTCTTTCACTTCTGCATACACAATGGTTCCAGACAGAACCTGATAACAGACTTCTGTATACATAGTAACAGACCTTACAGTTCCATGAAGGGGATAATTCTTGATCAGTTACGCAACTACTGACTGAAGTTACAAAATATTATCATACTAGATCCAGACACAGGTGCAGGGCTTGAAAAAGAAAACCATATCTGATATTTGGTTGTGATGTCAATATGATGTAAGATACTGACATACCTTACTGCTTCTCAAAAGAATTAAGAAATGGCACACGTAACTTATGATTCAGAAAATAAAATTGATCGAGTTAATAATCTTAATTTCCCCCATCAACAAACACTTTTCTTTACTTGATATTGATCAATATTTCTTGCACAGGCCACATGACACACACCTACTACTCCGCACTCAACTCCCATGACAATATGAAACACACATTAGGTTTACAGACATGCCTTGTTCTGCACTGTATTTCATCAGCAATGGATATGACCAATCCCATAAAGTCACCAAAACTGTTACTGCTAACCAATTCAACATGCACTGAAGATTTCTGCCCAATACAGAATACATGAATAGAGATAATCTGCCTTAGGAGGGCAATAAACATAAAGACCACAAGCATAAACAGTATAGTGACAGACGATATTAAAAGCAATGAAATTCTGTGAAACAGCTGAAAGGTAATGTTAAGAATGCAAATTTGACTTTAATTAAAAAGTCATGTCAAAACAGACAGTNAGTTTCCCTCATATTAGTTGTGGGAAAAATCATCATGGGTTGTATAAATGTACCACCGGCACTCACTGAGCATATGACACATCAGAGATCACTGTTCTGTTGATGTTTTGGAACCAAAGTGAGACACTCCTTTCAGACCTAACACCTCAGGAATCTTTCTTTGTACTAAAGAGTCCCACCATCTCACCCACGCTAAACAAATCATCTGGTGTACACAAAGTTTTGTCATGCCTGGACTCAAGAATGTCAAAAAACTCATTCACAGCCTTTTACTTAAAACCACTAGCTAGATACAGAAATGAAGGGAAACATTCTTCTTGTGTTGCTTCAGAAAGTGATCAAACCATGATCAACCAGCCATTTAAAATATTAACTGTACCAAATAGGTGGTTAATGCAACACTCTGAGTCACTCTATAACATCTGCTTTCAATTTGTAGAAGGTAACAAACTAACTCAGCCTCCTATGCTGGTGGAAAGATTGGCTTCTGAACAAACAGTTTTTCAGTCATTGAACAAACTGGCACTGTGCTGTTTTTGGAATAGAGTAGACTTCAATACCATTCTTAAGTCTCACAGAATGCCCGATGGCCTTAATCACATTTTCTATGTTCAATTTGTTTCTATTACAATCTGTTTTGGTCCTAGTAGTGTTTGTGGTATCCACGTAATAAATTAATTTTCAAATACTTCACCTCAATATTAAGTGCATGTAATACTCAACCTCTTTATAGGTGGTCCTTATTTACAGCTCCATTTGTGTTTTCCATACTACTAGTCCTGTGCAATTTAACAGGCTCATTTCTGACAAAACAAACCAACAGCATAAATTCGCTCATGTAATTTTGAACTTTAAATGTTACAATGTACATACAGCTGGATAGTTTAAGAAAAAGTTATACAAAAGTGATGTTATGAAAAACATTCACCAGTCAGTTTGCAAAACAGGTAAAATTCACAGCACCTCACGGAACACACTATTTACACCAACTCTGCTCCCACTGCACCTGTGCTGGTCAAGTGAACTGCAGTTTTACTAACGACATTTCCTACGAGACAGCAAGGCAATTATAAAAATTTATTAAGGGATTCTTCCATATTACCACCTTCTCCAGGGGCTCTGTCCCTGGTGGTAAAGTGATAGGGGCGTGAAGCTGAAAACTCACCTCTCATCTAGAGCTGACATAAAGAATTAAAGAATTATGTATACCTCCACTCCCCATATATCTTCACAGCATATTGCTTAACTAATTAAGCAAAGGGACTTTACCATTACCATTTTAAAAAACTTAGTGCATTTTATTTTGTGAAAAATTTATTATATAAGTACAAATCCTATATTTAATAAATTTACAGGACATAACCTCACAACTTGACACTGTTACTACATTTGTAATTATTGACTTGTGTACAGTTTATACATAAAGCGTACTGGTATTTATAATCCATCTTTGTACCAAATTTCATATGCCATAAGCTCACATTCAGTCAACGATTAGGGCAAGTGGAGTACATGAATCAGAAAACTGTATGTTTAAATGATAGGGCACAAGATTAAAACCCATAATGTCTTCATAAGTTTAATTTAGTGTACCTTACCTTTGAGTTTCCTGTTACCAGTTTTGCAATTTCTTCCCTAAAAACTTTGATGATCATGTGTAAATCACGGAGATACTGTTTTTCATCATGGATGAGGTCCTTTACCACTTCATCATAGGTAAGAGAAGTTCGAGGCGTGACAGGGTCAGAATCATCTATCACACCAATTCCTGACATGCCCCCACCTCCGCTGGCATCCTCATCTTGATAAAACATATCCATGAGAACCTATTCAAATGTCAAAAAACATAAAATATATTAGAAAACAAATTCAACATCTGCTTCAACTAAATTCGTTCAAAAATCACTTCCATGCCCCACTATAACATTTACTCATAATAAATTTAGCTAAATAAAAATATGGAAATTATATACTTAAATATAATATTTCATAGATCAAATCCTACATTCTAACAGAACATTAATTAGCCCTTTGGCCACCAAACTGAAAAAATTGGACTGTTTACTCCTTTACTGCCAAAACAGTACAAATCACAGGTCAGAAACTGTTCTTTCAGCTGCCACTACAACAATAACAGCAACAGAACAAGTACACACTATCCTATTCTTATACAAACAATCAACTATGACACCTGATGGCATAACCATATGCTTCAGCAGATATCCCACAGACTAAGCACATTATGTACCCTTTTGACATTCTGTCCAAATCACATGATGATATCTCACTGAAAATAACTGAGAGTCAAAGTAAGAATCAATGGAAATTAAATGTTTCACTACACTTTTAAATGGTAGACCTGGCTCATTCTGCAGTAAGTTAAAAAAGGTAAACCTATCCCTGTATCAGGTTGTGGACGCCTAGAGGGTTGCAAGACATTGAGGCTCCCACATTTTCTATACAATCGGACCACAGATGGTGGTGAGGTTGTCAATCTTCTGCACTGGCAGCCCTTTAGCCCCCAAGGAATATTCATAGTACTCATTTCTGTTAGAGGCTGAGCCAACCCCAGGGCCATGGTGCAGCTGGAAGGATTAGGTCAATTGAAAAATCCAATAAACTCACTGGGAATTGAACCCATGACCTTCCAGCTTGTAGCACTGTGCCCCAACCATACATGACATTAATTTAAAGTAAATAGTATACACACATGTTCAAAAAAAATGAACCCAATTATTTTATGGCATTACCAAAACATACGAACAGTATATTCTGAGGATAAGGTATTTTATCAGCATGCACTTAAAACAATTATTATAAACTGAAGTATCAAACAACAAAAACCAATAACTATAAACGTATTCAACCCATGTGTGCAAAGAACCCAACATAACTAGTTTTGATATGTTCACAGCATTATGAGGCAAATATTATAGATATTAAGTACAGAATACACCATTTTGAAGATATATTCCCATTTTCCTTACTTAAGATTTATCTCAATCTATTATGAGACTTTATTTTTTCACTGCAGTAAACATAAAGACTGTGTTTCTCTGGTACACACTGCTGTGCAGTCTCAGAGATAGGTACCGAAGTTTCTGAGGAACCTGCGAGCTTCCACCTTCTACCCTGATGGTGTAGACAGCAGGTTCCTCCAAAATATTAGTACCTGCGAGTATCTACCAAATTATATGGCATCTTATTTCAGAGGACCATAATTTAAACCACTCTATCTCTTCTAACTACATCTTACATACCATAAACGATCCTAACATTTGTGAATGCATAGTGCTTAGAAAAGTTTTCTTTTTTGGTTTACTTTATAAGAACTCTTCAAAGACACTGCTGTGAGAACCTCAAATCCTACACTAAGCAATGTGAGAGTACATCATGTTAAGAATATGAAATTAAATGTTACCTCACATAGGTATCACCAAACTTGATCTAGGTATCTGAAATTGTAAGAAAAATTATGTACTCCTCATTGGTCATGTCTTCAATTTCAGTTCTTGTCCACTTTCCCTAATTCCATACCATGACAAGATCCACCTATTCTTTCAATATTATAAGTAACGATTCCTTCAAGAGTGTCAAATTAGCTTCATAAAATAGGTCATTAAGGGATGAAAATTTAGTAGCTGGTTTCCCACCGCGGCAGCCCGGGTTCGATCCCGGGTCTCATAAAGTGGGATTAGTAGTGGACAAAGTGGCGCTGTGGCTGGTTTTCTCCGAGTATTTCGGTTTCCCCTATCAATCTTCATTCCACCAAATTCTCCATCATTATAATCACCCAGGACAAGCTACAATAGGCCACTCAGTGGTTGCCGTGCTGAGTGGATCCTGTTGGATTTCACCCCCCACTAAGTGAATTAAAAAAAAAAATTTAAGGGATGATAATTTCTAATGCTACCTTATGCTGAGGATATAATTCTGCCAAATGGTCTCTATTAATATATTACAACTCTTGGACAAGAGAAAAATATAATTCTGGGTCTACAAAATCTCACATAACAGTTCCACATACTTTTAACTTTATTAATAAAGAATGGTTTCAATTAAAAAAACATTAGCTTCAAAAGTGCTTCAGAGCTTATACCGCAATTCCAAAATAAAGAGAAAACATTCCACTATTCCCTAAAGAAACTTCATAAACATTAGTTAGGTCAAGAAGTAAGTGACATGTTTTAAAAATCTGATTTGTCTACTAATATTAAGACCCAAAACTAAATTAAAACTAGTTATAAATGTTTTCACAAGATATGGACTTGCTGAAATCACACTGCTGCTTCTAAAACATTTCAGCATGGCGTGTATACTCATGCAGCAACCAACATATGACTAATCTTGCACCACATAAAACAACATGGGGACTGCGGGCATACAGACTCACAGTAACAAAAGAAAGAAAGCAGCATAAGAAGAGGAAGAATTAGAATTTTAGATGCTTAGTAAGTTTTTGTATGTCCATGTGTGTAACATTTCACTACCAGAAAAACAAAAATGACTTAGTTTCCCTGTGTTGAGTTATTTAACTCCTATCTCTTGTACACATAATCAGAGAGCAAACATATTTGTCCACGGCTATATGTTATATGATAGAGGTTAATACAGTAAAACTTGCATACAATTAAACTTGGATTAAACAGAAATAAGCTTTTAAAGGAACAATTCTACTGTCCCCTCCCCGCCCTCAAAAAAAAGGGGGGGGGAAGTAAAAGGGAAATGTAAAATTGCCTCTAATAAAGAGAAACCATTTGACATAGAAACAAAAGGAAAAACAAGAATGTAAATGAAAATAAGCGACTTTTAACATTTATTATTTTCTGTTCATGTAATTTTGGGAGAAAGGAAAGGAGGAAATTAAAAGGAAAAATGAGAGCAATAAAGCTAAAAAGGCAATCTGCTCAGTAATAGTGTAGTACACACATATAACATAAATTTCTGAATGCCACTTAAATCATAAAAGTATAGTGCGCACACTGTGCCATATTCATAAATATGTGGGGTATGCACTGTGTCAAATTTGTTACCTAAATTACTGTCATGTATACGGTGGTATGCGTGATGAAAATGAAGGGTTCTAGTTCAGATAATTAGATTTATTAGCACTTTGGTTACACACTCTCTCTTAATTATACTTAAATAAGTCAATAGAACACCATCACTGATTTACACACTTTCCAATTCACCGCTGCACACGCACTAGGATTCTCTGTTTCTACTAGTTCTCTCCTAGCAACGGATCTCAACATGGAAACTCATTTCAAATCACTATGAAGTCTCCTCTAGATTGGCCTCTGTTGCATCTTGGCAGGCCGTTGTATCTTTTAGATCATTTTTCATGTCTGTTATCCTGGCATCCATCTTCTCTACATTTCCGTTTCGGGTTCCACTTTCATCAAGTTGGCATCTGTCTTGTCATGAATGGCTTCCAGCATTGTCGCCACTTCTTGGTCGATTTTCTATTCAGTGTCCCTTTCTTCTTGGTCAGCTTTCTGCTCAGCCATCATCTTCTCGAGGTCAGCTTTTGTCTTATTTCTTCTCCTGGTAGGCTCTTCTTTCAGCCTCCCTACTTTCTTGGTCAGCTTTCCTCTCCGCCATCATCACCTCAAAACTTGTCTGGGACTGTCAATAATCCCTCATACAACTGGCCAAACATAACAAAGTTCAATTGAGATGGATGCCATGTCATGGGGGCATTGTTGGGAATGAAATGGCAAATCAGTTGGCAAGACTGGGACCTGAACATCTGTTCACACAACCCCAAACAGCTTGTGGCATCTCAGGTGGATATGTCAAGAAAACAGTCAGGGAATGGACAAACAGAAGTCACAAAAACATTGGGAATCCGTAACTGTACTCAGACAGGCAAAGGGACTTATATTAGGGCCCTCTGTCAGAAGAATGAAGGATCTGTTAAAATTAAACACAGACCAGTTAAGACAGGTGGTAGGACTATTTACAGGATACTGTCACCTAAAAGGAAGCCTTTTCAAACTGGGACTAACAGTTGACCCCCTTGCAAATGGTGCCTAGAAAAAGATGAATCAGCCACACACATACTATATGTGACTGTGAATCTATAGCTTATTTAAGATTTGTTACTTGGGCCAGTTTCTTATGGAACCAAGTGACTATTATGACATCCCATAAAAAGTCCTACATTTTATTCAAAGTGTAGGACTGATAAAGGGTTAAACAAAAGAGGGGATGCACAACAGAACATTAAAGGTTACTGTGCAAGGGCCGAAAGGGCCCACCCCTTTGTATTCATTCATTCAATCAATAACCACATGGAAAATCGGGGACTAGGTGGACAGATGTGATTATATGCAAAAGAAAGTATGGAAAGAGTAGACATAAATACAAGAAGAGTGCTTATGAGAGGATGCTCATTGTAAAACCTAACCTGAATGGTGGTGGTGGTGGTGGTTCAAAACTTAAAGATAAAGGCATAATTTTGCACTTGTGATAGTAAAATCTTATAGTACGAGTAATATCTGCATAAGAACATAAAATTTCATGTAAATATTCCTGAGCATTTAGATATGATGGAAAACACCCATATCATAAGAACACATCAACTCAGAAGAAGGGATGGCACAAGAGGCTAGTTTTATGACTGTTACACTAATATTAAATGTTTTTTCTAAATGAAATCATAAGAAAAGCATCTAAAGACAAAAACAGGTTAATTATCCGAACTTGCTCAGATGATGTGGTTAAAAATAAGATACATATAGTAACCGGATATATATGTATACATTCCTACATGTAAACTGGAGAAACTGTTCTGTGCTGGTTACCAACTTGACTTTATGTA